TCACTGAGTGTGTGTCACCCTTTGTGAGCCCTGATCCGTCACCTTCTACTCTTCTTTGGACAAATGACATGCAAGTCCACAGATATTCATTGTGCATACTTGCAAGATTTACTTTCCAGGAACTTCCCAAATCAGCTTTTAAGAGTCATCAAAATGTGGTTCTTACAAACTAAAACAGGTCCACTCCTAGAGTTACCAAGACCTCTGATTCAGCGCTTTCCCAAGGCCAGCTGCCAAGGTCCCTGAGTCACGCCCCTCTGGGCCAAGCCAGAGAGCACCTGGCACCGCAGCACATGGGCCACTGGTGGGAATTGCTGCTGATTTCTGGAAGAAAGCTCTTATCACTCATTCATCAGCAGTATCTTGTGCTGGTCATAGGCTTCCATTGCCCCTGCTATTGTTATTGAATTAAAAGTAAGTCTTAGTATAAACTAATCATCACTTAGGTTTGTGTGACTCGGGCCTAGCCAGTGGCGGTATTGTGATGCACTTTTATCTCGGGTATATATGGGTCTAGAATTATAGTTGACTACCATTGATGGCATTCTGCTTTTTGGTCCCAATTTGAATCACGCATGCAACTACTGTGAGTGCTGGTGGACCTCTAGCAACCACTGCCCCAGAGAAAGGTTTCTTCCCCATGAGTGTCACCTCATTGATGTCACAGGGTTCTCTGGCCTTGAAAGCCAGGAGAAGCAGGCAGGTTGCTCTTCCTAAGTGGGCTGTGACCAAAACAGTTTATTTCAAGTACAAGAAGTCATTTCCTCAGTAGGGTGTGGGTACATAGGTGCCTGCAATTGTCAAAGCTCATCAACTATGCATTTAAAAGATTTACCTTTTGTTTAACATAAAGTATACCTCAATGAAAATACAGACAAGGATTAAATATAAAACAAGGATAGGAGGCCAGAGGAGGAGACTAGGAGCTCTTGAGAGTGAGACTTAAGTGTGACAGGGCAGCCAAGGTTGTATAACCTCAATGTAATAACAAGAACATGTCAGACAAACCCCGAATGGGGAAAGCTCCATTAACAAGACATGGGGCAGTGTGCTCCTAAAAAGGTCAATGTCACAAAAACAAACAGACAAACAAAAGACAAAACAAAGGAAAGCTATGGAAACATTCCTGATTTTAAGACATTCCCGATTTTAGTCACACTTAGTGACAACACAAGCACACCCTGGATATGGCCCCAAGTAGGGGGGTTGGAGCCTAGGGCGGGGTCATGGGGATGCCCAACCCAGGATGTCCCCTTCCCCTCAGACTCTGTGCCTGGGTATGCAGGTGAAGTATCTTCCACACCTGTTGACTATATCTTTTTTGTAGTTATGCACAGAGTGTTCCGATTTCCTGGAAGCAGAAAATGCATTGAAGGACATCATGAGATTCAAATGACAATTCGATTATAGCTAGTAGATTAGAAAGTATTGTCAATGTAAGTGTATGAAATGTACAACTATACTATAGGTATGTAAGATAATATTCTTGTTCTTAGGAAATATATTTTAAAGTTTTTAGCGGTAAAGAGGCATGATGTGTGTAACTAATCCTGAAATCGTTAGAAAAGAAAATTATGTATGTATGTGTAAAAAAATGCATGTACATGCAAAAGAATGTTCTTATTGCTTACTTTGGGAAGAAAAGATGAAAAAGGACACGTTTGAGTCTTGTATGGGTTTTATTGACACAGCTAGTTCATGGTTTGGCAAATGATTTTTTCCGACATCTGCACTTCTAAACAAGCAGATTCTTATTTGGATACTCCTCTTTAATCAGTAACTCCTGAAAGCCACATCATACATACAGCTGATTCATGAAAACCTTGACTCCTAGTCAGGTCATTGTAACCTGGAAATTAGTGAAGCTCAGGAAAAGTTTAGACACTGGGACAATGACATCTATTCAGTCGAATTGTACACACATAATTGAGTGAAAAGGGAGAGAAGGGAGAGAGATAGAGAACTCACAAACAATAAGCCAATGACCTAAAATGTTAGTAATAGGTACATCTGGGTAAAGGATATACGTGAAGGGCAGGTACGGTGACTCACATGTATAACCCTAGCACTTTGGAAGGCCAAGGCAGGAGGATCACTTGAGGCCAGGATTCCAAGACTAGCCTGGACAGCATAGTGAGAGTCTGTCTCTACAAAAAAAATTAAGAAGTTAGCCAGGAGTGGTGATAGGTTCTTGTAGTCCCAGTTTCTAGGGAGGCTGAGGTAGGAGGATCCCTTGAGCCAGAGGCTGCAGTGAGCTATGATCTCACCACTATATTCCTCCCTGGGCAACAGAACAACAGTTATACTTGTAAAAACATAAATAAATAAATAGTATATACAGGCGTTCTTTGTTCTATTCTGCTTTTTATAATTTTTTTTTTTTTTTGCAAATTTGGAATTATTTACAAATAAATTTCTTTTAAAAAAAATATTGGGAATAAAGGAGCTAAAAGGAGTTCCAAGGGCCTCACAGTCTAAACCTGAGTCAGTTCAGAGCTGTGTCAGTATTCTGGTGATGGTAGTCACTGTGACAACTATATTGCTTTAAAAGTCATAAATGGGAAATTCCTAAGCAATAAAAGTGAGATTGCTTATATTGCAAACCTGGGAGAATATGAGAGAATTTCCTTATTGCTAACCCTGGAAAGAAAAGGAAAAACGTAGTTTTAAAAAAAAATTTAAGTTTAAAGATGTGGGGTACAATTCAGGGTTAGGTATACAAATGTTCATTATGCAGATACCCTTGTTGATGAGGTGTGCCCCCCCTCCCCTGGCAGTTTCCCATTACTACCAATCCCTCCCCTCTTCCCTGCCCTCTGGGGCCTGGACACTTTCCTACTACTGCCAATAAAGGTAAAGTTTTTTGTTAACAAGGCCAGTTGGAGGTTTGACAAATGTTTTCCCAACATATGTACCTCCAAACAAGCAGATTGTTATCAGGATCCTCTCCTTCAATCAGTAACTTGAAAGCTACTCTCTGCCCATAGTTGATTCATGAAAACCTTGACTCCCGGGTCAGATCATTATCACCTGGAGATGAAAGCAGCCCAGGCAAAGTTTATATTATACATCAGGACAATGACATCTATTCTGTCTAATGGCAAAATTTCCTAGCATGACTCGGGTAGTATCATCGTGCATTTATAGGAGAGGAAAGGGGGCCTAGTGACCTCTCTGTGGGTTTCCACAGTGTCTGATCACACTCAGAGGGGCCTAGTGCTCTCAAAAGTAGCTACCACCCCGTTCACCCACTGTGGAAGAAGTGAATGGGGTTCGTCTTCTGTCCACGCTGTGGTTGGCCTTACAGAGATGGCAGGAACATCTCCACACACAGATGGAAAACACTGCATGAGTTTGTTCAAGTTCACTTCCCAGGCAAACTGAGACCTCTCCTCCACCTCACCTACCTCAGGGTGCCCTTTACTCCCCAATCTCCAATTCAGACTGTGGAGTTATGAACCTGATTGTTTGTTCCTAACCCTTAATCTGATAAAGATGGAACTGTTTGGGGGACTCGGAAGTTTAATCATGTAAGGAAAATGATCTGCTTGTTTGCCAGCATGTGTAAAACTAAACTGGGACATGATGAACAGGGAATTAAACCTAGGTGGCAAAATGGACTTGTGGTCACAGATAGACTCCATTCTATTTCTTTCCTGGCCATGTTATAGCTCCTTGAGAAGAGAAAGTCAAGAACAAGAATCCTCTTCATTCTGGGACTGGAAGGTCTGTCTGGCCATGAGCCAAAGCTGTGCTAAAGGGTCTGTATCAGAGGAGGAGATGAGTGTCAGAAAAGGAGATAGGAGCAAGTGGGAAAGAGACAGTCTCTAACTGGCTGGAGGGAATTAGGACATAAATAATTCCTGATCTACCAGCATAGATTCCCCAAAGCCAGACAAGAAGATGGCAGCCTAGGATCCCTGAACTTCAAAGGGTCAAGGGCACTAGCGCTGCCCTATAGCAAGCAGTTTAAGGTACAGCCTGGCCAGGGCTAAAGTGAGTCAGTGAGAACATCCCCAGCCCTCTAGCCAGTGGGTCCTGCATCCAATTCATGCCAGCCACCTTGGGGTCAATTGATAACTTACTGAGCTCCTAACACTTTCTAGTCACCATGCTGAACATTTACCTGTGTTACCTTATTTATGTTCATGGCAGCCTATCTCTCTCTTAAAAATAAGGAAACAACCGGGCTCGGTGGCTCAGCCTGTGATCCCGCGCCTTTGGGAGGCTGAGGTGAGTGGATCGCCTGAGCCTGTGGGTTCGAGACCCGCCTGGGCAGCTAGATCTCTTCTCTACAATAAATCAAAAAATCAGCCGGGCGTGGTAGCGCGTGCCTGTAATTCCGGCTATTTGGAAGGCTGAGGCGGAAGGATTGCTGGAGCCCAGCAGGTGAGGCTGCGGTGGCCGGGAACGGCCACTGCACTCCAGTCTGGGCGACCGAGTGAGACTCCAACTAAAAAATAAAATAAAATAAAATAAGGAAACAGTGGCCGAAAATGCTGACATGTGAAGGTAGAAAAGTTTATAAGTGGTGGAGCTAGGATTTGCAGCCAGGACATCTGACTCCAAATCTCATATACATTTTTTGCTATGCTGTGCATAGGTACATGTATGCATATATAGAGAGCATGTTGAGTTTCCTAGCTTCTGCTTCAAGAAAGCTTAGTGTGGGTTGTCATCACTGATCCTAGCATTCTGCAGTCACATCTGCTTGGAAAGACGTAGCGATGGTTATCAGAAAGCTCTGGGAATCCTAAGGCAACTGCTGCTCTACCACATGGCTGAGGTCACCTCCAACCCAGCTGTGCATGTTGGCAGGGGTTCCTTGTTGGGAGCTCAGAATCCTGGTTTAAGCTGCCAAAAAGGTCAGAAGTTTTGGTAAAAAGCCGATGGGTCACATGAGAGGGAGCTGTCAATGGGCTGGGCTGGCTCCAGTGCCAGGGAATGGCCAGTTCTCACCTCCCTGGTTTGCTTGCCATCTTCTCCCCTTCTCTTTGCAGCCAACCTCGGTTTGAAGTCCAGGGCGGTGGCTCTTGGGGAGCAGCCAGCATACCAGGGGCCTGTACACTGCATTGCAACCATCGTGAGGAATGAGGGCCTGGCGGGGCTGTACCGGGGCGCCAGTGCCATGCTGCTGAGGGATGTCCCGGGCTACTGTCTCTACTTTATCCCCTACGTGTTCCTGAGTGAGTGGATCACACCTGAGGCCTGCACAAGCCCCAGTCCCTGCGCCGTGTGGCTGGCGGGCGGCATGGCAGGTAAGGGCCACAGCAGCTGGAGTCCAGTCCCTCTGCTGGCTGCAGCAGTGGGACAGCTGGGGAACCTGCCATGCCCTTCTCAGCCCCAAGGAGGGCAGGACTCATTCAGGCATGGTCCCAGTGGTCCTGTGTTCAGTATCTACTCTGTGCCAGGTCTCATTGGAATGGCCCCTTCTCCCACACCCTTCACTCTCTCATCGCTCTCCCTCTGGAGCTCTGTGAATGGCAGTCCCCATATGGGCTCATTCAACTTTCAGGCAACAGATCAATTTTGAGCACATACTCTGTGTCAGGCATCATGGAGTGGAGCTTTGGAAAGGAAATCTATCACATGGTTCACCTTTAGTGAATATCAGCACACCAGAAACCTTTCTAAGGTGAGGGTTTTGTGAGTTCTGTAATTTAGGAGTCAATCTCCTCATTTGACAGATCAGAAAACTAAAGTCCAGAGGCATTACGTAGCCAACCCAAGGTCATCCAGCTGATGCTGCCGGTATAGCAGGGACTCTGCAGTTAGAAAGATCTAAGTTCAAATTCACACTTACTCGTTTTGTGACCATGGACTGGTTGCCGAACCTCCCCACTCAGAACCCTGTACCACATCCCTCCTTTCATGAAGGGTAATAACGTGCTTGCAGTTGTTTTTCAGGCCCTCAATGACCTGGCTCCTTGTCTGGTTCCTTGTCTGTAACCCCTCATTTCTGCCCCTTTTCCTTATTCACTCTCTAGTCACACTGGTCTCTGCTGTAACTTGACTCTGTCAGGTTCTTCCCCCACCACAGGGCCTTTGTACATGCTACCCACATTGCTTGGATTTAACAGTGTGGAGGCCACTGTGGACTTGGACAAGGGCTATTTTGGTGGAGCAAAAGGCATAAAAACCTAGAGTAAGGTCAAGAGAGAATGAGATGAAGGAAATTGGAGAATACAGGTATAAAAAGGGGAGCACCCCCAAATGGAATTTATTTATCAAAAATTGGGTATTTATTCTTACATGTTTAAACTTCAGTCACCTTCAAAGTACTTACCGTTTGATGCGATACACTATGGAGATGCTTTTTTACCTGCTCAAAACGGTTTTTTGTCTCAACAATTTTGATGCCTTTTAGTGCTGTTGCCAGTTTTTGTTTCATCTCTTCCACACTGGCAAGACGTTTCCTTTTGAGGATTTTTTTCAGCCAAGGAAACAAACATAAAAAAGTCACTCGGAGTGAGATCAGGTGGATAGAGAGGGTGGGGATGGAGGTCATGCCAATTTTGGTCAAAGACTGCTGAACACTCAGTTTGGCGTGGCAGGTGAATTGTCATGGCCGAAGAACCAGTCACCTGTTTACCACAACCCTGGATGTTTCTTCCACAACACAGCCTCTCACAACAACACTAGCTGTTACACTGATGCCTGTGTATTCCCAGAACACTTACCTAGCAGGGGAATCTTGTACTACAAAGGGACCCGTCCTCCAAAAGATACTTCCAGGTTGTTTTGTGTCCTACTCATACACAACACTTCTGAGGGATTTTGCTGTGCTCTAATGAGAAACAGAGAAATGGAGCTATAGCAAGAGGGGCATATGGAAGTCAAGAAAGGACTGCTTTTTGAGATGCTTGCAAAATGACTTGCTTGATGCTAATGGCAAAGATCCAACCAGAGAAGAAAATCGTTATTCTTCCTCTTCCTCCTCCTCCTCCTTTTCATCACAATTAGCTAAGCTGTAAACTCAAACACATGACAAAGCTCATGGTCATAGCTACAGTAGTTCTGCCCTCTATCCTCACAAGTCTGAGGCCTCTCGTGTGCCCCGCTCTCAGTAAAAGCTCAGCCAGTACCAGCTGGCTGAGAGGACAGCAAGGCCCCGTCTGCTCTCCTTTCTGGGGAAGGCAGGTGCAAGTGGTCTGGCAGGCAAATCTCATTTTGTGATGCCCTCACCCATGGGCAGAGGGACAAGGGAATGCAACTGGATAGCAACTGGGGAGTGGCCTCATCATCCTGGCAGAAGGCAGGAGAGAGTCAACGTTTAGAGGGACTCCAAAGGTCTGTGGGCACGAGACCGAGATGGGCAAAGGGCCTGGGGTGGGTTAAGGGCTTTTTTGGGATCTACTGAGCAGCAATTCTAAAACCTCCCAAACCAGCTGCCCTGGACTTTGACGTCGGTTTGTTATTCTCTCCCAGACCCAGGATGTGCCATTTCTGTGTTTATCCAGTAACCTGGCATTGTTTTCCTAGAGTTCTTTACCTGATTTTATCCAGTGAGGATGACCCAATGGCACATGATCCTAAGACTTCTATTCCATATGTTGGGAAAGGAAAGGAGATTTTTAAATAAACCTGTCCCTGCTTTTTTTTTTTTCCTTCCAGTCCCCGGGCTGGCCCTTCCTTGGTGAGCATGTGTTTGCTTATCTTCTCCGTGTTCAGAGTAAATCCTGCCTCCGGGAAGCTGCAAACCTTCAGCCTCATGTGCCATCCCCCACCCCCACCACCACCACCACCCTCACCACCCACACCACCGGGCCCTCTCTTCTGGTGCCCCAGGAAGTTGCTGCCAAGTATCTGTGGATCGTGTTACTGTTCCTCCAGAAAAAGCAGCTGCTAAAACCTGCCCATCCTGAGCCCTGTGCTTAGTGCTTCATGTCCATCAGTTCAGGGGGCCCTCACAGATAGTTACGACTGCTCCATTTTACAGCTGAGAGGCCCAAGGCTTAGAGGAGGGAGGAGACTTCTGCCATGTCGCACAGTGAGTGGCAAGAGAGGATCAGAAACAGACTTTGCGGGTCCTAAGCCTGAGCTCTGTTCCTTCCCCCAGCAGCTTAATATGTTTATGAGTGATGGAAATCCACAAGGAACCAGAGCCCTCCAGACCCCAGCCAGCAAGCCCTTGATACCTGTTTATTTCTTTCTCTTTACAGGAGCAATTTCTTGGGGGACAGCGACTCCTATGGATGTCGTGAAAAGTCGACTCCAAGCTGATGGGGTTTATTTAAACAAATACAGAGGTGTCCTGGACTGTATCTGCCAGAGTTACCAGAAGGAAGGTCTTAAAGTAAGCCCACACTGGGGTTCCATGTGAGTTCCTGGAAGACAGTTCAGACATTTGGGGGGATGAGGGACCATAGAGAAGGGAATCAGGAGGCTGAGGGACTGGCGGTGACCATGTATCAGGTGCCACAAGCAGATGCTGTGCCAAGTGCTGCACCTAGGTTGTTATTTTGAGTCCTCTCCCGACTGGCGGAGGAGGGAGGTGTGCGGCTCACCTGAAAGAGGTACAGAAAGGGCTGGTAACCCGTCTGTGATCACCTACCTGTACCTACCCCCAGCCTGCCCTCTCATCTACATAGACCAGGCAGTCTTTGCTCGCTCCCTGCTCAGGGCCTTTCTCCACCCCCACCCCTCCTCCCAGTGGGAAGTCCCAGAGTCTCCCTGCATCCTTCCTGTCCCTCTGTCAGCTCATCTCGCCAGCTCCAGGCCTCTGGAACTGTCCTTTCCTACCCTACTCAAGCCCAGCCCCCACCACCTCTGATCTCAGCTGTGGGGACGGCCTCTGACTGGGTCCTCGGCTTCGTCTCCTATGTTCTCCTCCAAGCAGTCCAAGAGTTTATCCGAACACACACATACCCACCACCAAACTGCCCCAGAATGAAGACTAGACGTCCATGTCTGTTGTCCAAGGTCATAGACAAATGCATCATCTAGAGAAACTCTTACGCTTTCTCTTCCTTGAATGGCCCCTTGCTTTCTTGGCATGGCTCTCAGCGTCTGCAGACGTGGGTTCAGAGTCAGACGCGGCTACCTCTGAGTTGGCAGAATCCAGGCACGTGGTTTCTTCTCTTAGGGCCTCAGTTTTCCCAAGATGAGCATCCCTTCCGTGAAGGATAGGGGTGTGTCCTTCACCCCTGTCATTAAATTGGGCACAAAAAAAGTACTCAGTTCAGTGCATAATTTATGGGGAGAACTTAGAGCTAACCATTTCCTATTGGCATTGGTGTTAGCATTATCAGTGCTAGTTTTATTTGTGCCAGTGTCACTGCTGGGCTCCAGGTCTTTTCTTACCTGGCTGCCTTGTCCCAAGGCCAGATGAATCTGACCCATCCTTCAGGGCTCAGCGCAGCCAACCACCGTCCCCGGCACCCATGTCCTCCGCTCGCTTCTTCTGTGCCCCCTTCAAAGCACCTCTCACCCACCACCATGGACACAACGATTTCTTTTTTCTTTTTAATTTTAAAGATGTAGAGTACAATTGAGTGTTAGGTATACAAATGTTCATTATACAGGTACCCTTGTTGATGAGGTGTGCTCTCCCCATCCCTGGCAGTTTCCGCTACTGCCAATCCCTTTCTTATAGTATTATGATAAATGTTCAAGGTCTGCTTATGAGTGAGAACATATGGTACTCTGTTCTTTGTTTCTGTGATAGATCACTGAGTATGATCGACTCTAAATCCATCCAAGTTGCTGCGAAGTTCACAGCTATTTCTATACCTGCCTCTGTCCTCTTCTTACAGCAGGCTCCTTAAGGACCTGATTTTTTGCATCCCCTCCCAACTTGGAGAAAGATCCAGAGTTTAGAGAACCCAGTGATCAGGAGGATAGCTAATATGCTGTGTGAAAGAGACAAGATCCAAGGCAAGATCAAAGGGCCACATCTAAAGGACAGAACTGCCATATGTCACCATAAATTCCAGCCTTAGTATTCCATAGTCAGTCTCCTCTGTAGAGGATGGGGTCATCTCATTTGACAAAGGCTCCTGGGGTATAACACCTAGAGCTTTAGTTCTTGTGAATTAATATTAATTTGACAAAGGCTTGTTTTTAGAGCAACTGGTATGTGCTAGGCACAGTTCTAGGAGCTGGGGACAGAACAGTAAACAAAAGAGAGGAAGCCCGTTCTCTGAGGATGCTAATGTGCCAGTGAACCAACAGTGGGACCAGGTCCCAAGGCTGCATTAATAGAAGTCTAGTGGGTAAGATGAGGGAGGTGGAAGCCTCTGCCCTGACCAGATCACAGCTGGAATGTTGTCATCACCCATCAAGCAAGACAATGAGGGTACCCCAAGGATGAAGACCAGGGACTGGGCATCACAGCATGTGAGGAAGGGCTGGATACTGGGCCTCTGTTCAGCATAAGATATGATGTGGATAGAGCATTACCTCTGTCTTTATGTTTTAAGGATGGATAAACACAGGCTTTTCTGTTTTCTTTATTTTTCCTTTATTTTATTTTTGAGTAGGAGTCTCACTCTGTCAGCCAGGCTGAGGGGCAGTGGCATGATCATGGCTCACCGCAGGGCTCAGGCGATCCTTCTGTCTCACATTTCTGAGTAGCAGAAACTACAGGTGCACGCCATCACACCCAGCTAATATTTTTATTTTTGTAAAGACAAGGTCTTGCTATATTGCTCAAGCTGGTCTCAAACTCTTGGGCTCAAGCAATCTTCTCAGCCTCCCCAAGTGCTGAGAATACAGGTGTGAGTCATTGCGCCAGCTCGTTTTCATTATTTTAATGAAGGATAAAGGCCAGGTATAGCCTCAATCATTTTTTTTGTATGGATTTTTTTTTTTTAGCAGCACAGTTTTTGCTTCAACCATCCGAAATGTTTTTGTCTACTTCCCCAAATATTAATGTGTCATAATTCTAAAAAGTCTGTAGAGGCAAAATATATTGCTGATATTATTTCCTCCAAAAATCACTGTGCTTTAAAAAAAAAAAAAAAAGCAGGTCCAGAAGCCAGCTGGGGCCAGACGACTGTTTTCTTAATCTCAACAGCGTTTGGTCCATAGTGTCGATTCAGAGGCAGGTTTGAGCAAGAGATGGCAGCACTCAGCAACATTCATCTCATTGACCAGATGGCTCAAGATTCTCTTTTAAAGTTTTGTATTAATTGGTTAAAAAATAGGTACTACAGAAACAGGAAGTTTCCAAAAGTTTGAGTACATACTGTCTCCATGTCCTTTCTGTGGCCCTGTCTTCTCTCCAAGACAATTACTGTCAAGAGTTTCTTGTGCTATGTTCCAGAAATATTCACAGCATGTACAAGAATATATGTGTGTGTACATATCTACATATGTTTGTGTATGTGAATGTTTACTTATCAGCATAAATAGTAACAAAAAACATAACACACACAGTTTGGGGGAATCAGTTTGTCTCAAAGGCCGATTTCCAGCAGTGACAGGAGGAGGAAGTAGAGAGCTTTTCCCCAGCCCAGGGACAGATCTTGCTGGCCTGGGCTCCTGGTCTACAGAGCAGCCCTTCCCAAACATTCTTATTGTGGATCATAGAGGCAGGCACAGAGCCCTGAGCCAGTCATCATCCAAGTTGCTCTCATTTTCCTTTAGAATAGGAGCACAGTGACCAGAAAGAATTAGTAAAGAGTAAAATGATGGTGATGGGGCCCCATCTGAGTAGCCCTTTGTGACCTGCTTAAGGATGATCAGTGGTGCAGCCTTTGTGGTGGGGAAATCAAGTCCATGGACTTGTGGGGTGTCCCTGAGTGAAAACAGAAGAAAGGCCTGGTGGTTTTGGAGCCATTCTCTGCCCACTGTGAAAGTCTCTTGGGCCACATGGTCTACTTGGAGAGTTGTTATCTGAAATAAGGAGGCTGGAGGAGTGCTTGGTATCCTTCAGCTCTACAGAGATGGCTGTTGTGGAGGGACTGGAGGAGAGACAGAGAGGGACGTTTGTAGGTAGACAGCCGCCAGCTCTACTCCAGAAGCGCCTACTGCCACCACCACCAAGAGCCTTTCAGTTCAGAGACTTCCCTTTTTCACATCCAAGAATTCACTTATTCAGTCATTCATTTGCTCATCCATTCATCCATTCATCCAATGATTCATCTAATAAGTGTTTCTGGAAGGCCTTGCAGGTGCTGGGATTCAAAGGCAAACCACACACACAACCCTGCATCCTCTGCCTGACTGTAATTGTTAATTGGGGGACAAACGAGTCGCAGGCTCTTGGAGAACAGTGTGGAGAGTGCTGTGATAGGAGAGATACTGACTGCACAGGAGGTGATAGGCCATTATCCATCTTGGACTGGCCATGGGGGGATTACCAGAGGCTGTAAGCGAGGTCAGAGGAGCACTCCAGGCAGAGGGGCCCAGAAGCGACCCCAGTGGAGGGAGAAGGCTGACTCCTCAGAGGAATGATAGGCCATCAGTCTGCCCAGAGTGTCAGGTATGAGAGGCCGCCCAGAGAAAGTACAAGGCAGAGTCTGTGAGTCCTTACAGGTCAGGGAAGGGTGTGGCAACTCAACGGGCAGTTGGGAGCCATTAAGGCTCCATGGTGGGGGGACTCAATCTGGGAGTTGTGTGTTCTGAAAGCTCTGGGTAAAAGCAGCAGTCCTACACTTTGTCTTCTGCAGTCCCCATGGCAGCGCAAGCTACAGTTGCTGGAGGGGGTTTCTGTTCTGCCTGAAGTGGCCATAGCTCCTGCAGGGCCCAGAGCTGTGAGACAGGAGGCTTATACTCCAAGCTGGGTCCTGCCTGATTTGGCCCAAAGAGCAGAGCCAAGCCCAGGCCCACAGGCAAGCCTCTGTGGGCACCGGCATGGAATTTTCCTCTCGGGGCCTGACCCAGTTCCTTACTGTTATTCAGTCACCCTGGGTGAGCTGGTGGAATTTCGGAAAGGCTAGACGTAGAAAGGAGTGCTGCTGTTACCAGGATCTGCTGGCACTCTGCCTGGATGGCTCCAGGACTTGGCTGGGCCACTGGCTCACCCCGGAGATCCTGGTCAATCAAATCCCTTCCCTGGGCCAAGCTGTACCTAGGAGGCTGCCATGAAGTATAAAGATCACCCGAGATCCTGGCCAGTGACAGAGGCCTGCACCAATCCTGACACCCCAGTGCCCAGCAACCCAGGAAATGGGAAACGCAAGGGCTGGTTTCTATTTTCTTAAAATTACTTGTTCTGTCTCTTAAACTTAGTAAATTACACAGGAGTGAGAAAGCAGATTTATAGCTTATGCCTGACAGTTCTCAGGTCATTTATGCCTGGGTGGGGATTTGCTTTTAGATTGCAGTTTCTTCCCAGAGGATACACTAGAGGCCAGCTCCTCCCACCCCGGCCTCCACCCCTCACCAGAGCGAGCCCTTATCTGTCCTCATTACTTTCTGGGTTATGGTGTCATTGTTCCTGAGTGGGGCTTATCTCCCAAATAGGTTATAAATTGCTCAAGGGTTGGAACCACATCACATTTATCAGCCTCCACCCAGCATCTAGCAGGAATCTTGAGGGAGAAAAGGAAGATCCTGGACAGTGTTTGGGAAGCATCCTAGAATATTCCCTAGGAAGATGTCATGGAGTAGCAGAGGCAGAGTGCACGAGCTCACCAGTACAGGCCGTTCCCCTTGAGCACTCATTTTACTGATGGAGGTGGAGTCTTGCTACTATTAGGCGATGGCTGTTGATCACAAGGAGGGTGAGGATGAGAGCCAACAGTTAATGTGTGCCTACTGTGTGTCAGGCATCGTGCAAGCATTGTCTCATTTAGTCCCTCAAACATCCTTATCAGGTCAATACTATTATTGCCCCCATTTTACAGCTGGGAAGATTGAGTTCCAGAGTATTTGCCATTTGCCCAAATAACACAGTTACTGAATGTGAATGCCATACCCCTGCTCCTTGTCTGCAGAGTCTTAAGCACAGCCTGAGTTCTGCACTCTGCTCCTTTGGGGAGGATGTCCTGTGATGCCCTGTCAGGTCATGACTGGGTGCCTAGGGCTACCAAATTCCCGGGGATCATTGTGTGCATACACATTTGTGTGTGTATGGGTACACATGGGGAGGGCAATTAAGCAAGTATAACTAGGTGTTTGCATAGCTCATTGGTGTGCCTGTAGCATTTAGTGCATGTATGTCAGGATCTGGGAGGAAAGGCGCCATCAGGCGTGACGTGGATCAGGGAAGGGACATGACTGGGCCATCCCATGTGGTCTCTGCCTACACAGGTCCTTTGGGCTCTGACCAGGGACAGCCCTTTCCCTGCCCCTCTGAGGGTGGCCCCCAGAGGGTGTAGATCGGTCCCCTGTGATAACTCGGCCTCCTGTGCAAAGGTGTTTTTCAGAGGCATCACGGTGAACACTGTACGGGGCTTCCCCATGAGTGCAGCCATGTTCCTTGGATATGAGCTATCGCTGCAGGCCATCCGTGGGGACCATGCGGTGCCGAGCCCATGAGCTTCAGGTCAGTGTACTTCCTTCTCGGCCAGTTGTGCTTCCTGCAAACTTGAAACTCTTGTCATTGTCATGAAAATGTTGTGACCTGAAATGTCCCTGTCATTGGTCTCGTGTCTAACCTGTGGTAGGTCAAGGCAAAAGCTGCCACTCTTCTCATCATTAGACAGGAGTTCTGAGTGCCCACCCCTGAAGGGCTTGTGCCAGGTTCTCAGTGACTGAGGTGGGCACAGAATTGACCTGTTTGTAGCAGCTCACTCATCCGTATTCCCATTCAGCAGCCTCAACAGCCCTCCCAGGGACTTGTTTTGAAGCTTCATTCTGCAAAAGCGATGACTCAGGCTCTAAAGAGAGAGGGTGCCCACCCCCTGCCCACAGGGGCACTGTCTCCTCCTTCCCTGCTGAACTTTGAAACCTGAACCTGAGAGCCACCCACAGGCTCCCAAAGCCCTAGAGGACAGGTCTTTGCTATCATTCCTCACCTCCTGCATGCTTTCTCATTGCAGAAAGGTCACTGAAGCCTGAGGGATTGTCTCAGAACAGAAATCTAAGCAAGTGACTCCCTTGCTCAAACGCTCTCAGTGGCTCCCTATGCCCTCTAGATGAAACCTGTCCTTAACACTGCCTCCTCCTCCAGCCTTGCCTCTCACCACCATCCTCTCTCTCACCTCTGGGTCTTGGCTCATGCTGTTCCCTCTGCCTGACACCCTCTTCTTGCTTCTTCCCTCCTTGTCCCAGGATTCACCAACTCTTTGTCATCCAGGCCTTGGTACAGAGTTCTCCCCCTCCAGGAAGCCTGCTTGGTTTCGCAGCTAAGTTGAGCTGTGCGTGCTGTAGACTCCTGCTCCCCGTGCTTCATAATTGTTCGAGGACTCTCTTCCTCCCCAGGCAGACTGCAGCATTCTTTGCTGGTGCCTAGCTGGTGCCTAGCGCAGAGCCTGACACACAGAAGGCCCTCAGCAACATTGTTGGATAGTTGGATGATCAGCCTCCCATAACCCCTCACACCTCCTCCTCGTCCTCTTGTCTTTTCTCCCTTCTTCTTCTCTGGTCCCAAACTAGCTACCTGTGATGCTCAGAAGATGAAGTAGCGTGAGTCACTGAACTTTCTAGTCAGCCAAGAAGCCATTTTATGTCAGCCTTGGTTACTACAAATTCTCCCAAGAAGGATAGTCTTTGCCAGAAAGGCCTAGAAAAACACACAGCTGCCTCCGCCCGCAGGTGGGCAGGGTGTTCGTGGGGTGGCAGAGTCCTGGTCGATGCCTGGGTGGTGCCAGAACCTGGAAGAAGCAAAAGGACTCGACCACTCAGCTGACTGTCGTGAGCCCAGAACAAGCCCCAGAAGCTGGCTTTGAATAAAATGCTGTCCTCCACTTCTTACCAAAGTATCACGTTCACAGCTTCCCTGGCTTTGTGCCCTTTCTTATAAAAGAATAAAGGTGACCACATATTTTGCATAATTAAACCTCCTGGGTGAAGAGTTACTGCATTTGGGTGATGTCCAAGTAGGAAAGGGAATATGTCTTTCTTAAAGCTGTGCTCAGATATCAGCTGTTTCCTCTTTTAACAGATGAAAGTGACTTTTAAAAAATCCTGTAATACAGTCAGTGCATTTTATTGTAGAAATAGCAGAAAATACAAATAAACAGAAGTAACAAAATAAAAATACCTGTAATCACAAGACCCTGTTATTATTCCCCTGAGGATTTCTCACATGTAATTCTATGCTGGCATCCTACTTTACACAGTGTTTGGTAACCCTCTTCCCTCATCCCGTAGTTCAGGACCATTTTGTCTCGTCATCGAATCTTCAGCTATAAGGTGGTCTTAACGCCAAGACCTCCCAGATCTTCGAGTGGCTGGGTGCCTGCCCAGCCTCTCATATCTGACCACACTGGTGATTGGCTGCTTCAGGACAAAGGAGGAAGTTTCTAGCAAGTCAGTCATGATTGTCCCGGATTTGGTCTTTCATAGCAGTGACCAGCCCAGTGGGAAGCTTTTCTTTCTGAAAGCATTCCCTCTTGCAAGGGACATGGACATCTGTCTCCCTTAGGAAAGAGGACTGACTGCCTGAGGCAGGGGAGGAGGTTGGTGCCTTGCAGACAGAAAGGGGAGGTTCCCAACCACCCATCTGGAGCCTCCTCTTAAACAAGACTTGCCCAAAGTGTTCAACCTCCTGCTCTACCCCAAAAGCACCAAGGCCTTTTAACAAGACCTGGATTTTAATTTACCAAGGAGCTCTGAGATTATCGGGCAGATCATGCTCCAGGTTGAAGATGGGAAACCAATGCCTCCCTCCCACTAGACTAAGGACAGAGTGAAATGATATACATTGGTGAACTGGGGAGCCCTACAGTTCCTAAGAAGTGGTGGGATGGTGACCATCTCCAGAGTCTCTGGGCACAGGTGGTAGAATGACTTGAGACCCAAGAGCCTGCAGAGGATGTGCATCCTGTCCAAGCATCCCCCGGGCTCCTTCCAAAAGCCAAACCCAGAGTCCTCCCCAGCTCCCCAAAGTCCTGAGCAGGAAGATCACTTCCTTTTCATGCATGTACTAAGTTATTTCTCTCCCAGGCAACACACAGTAGAATTTCAACCCAAGGAGAATTTGAAGCCCAGGAAGCACCGCAGGAGGTGACTGTTTTGAGACATGGTCAGTTTTATCTGTTCACTTGGAGAAACTAGAATCAGACAATACAAGGTGACCTTTGGTGGTAGAAGTGGAGTCCCTACCTGCCTACCAGTGGCCAGCTCTGGGTTTGTCTATGGCCTATACATCCAATGTGCCATTCTTGCCGGCCCACCGGGACCTGGTCCCTGGAACCTTCCTGGAGTAATGCTGCCCTCTGTCCTGACCTACATACCCCAAACCTCATTAACATATTTTAATTTCAAGGAAAATTCACTTTCAGAGAAAGAAGATACATTCTTCCTATAATATCTTTTTGGAACATTTACAAATAACCCCAGACAACCCTCAGAATGCTCACTAGTCTGTGCTCATGACCACACTTTGCCTGTTGGTATTTCACAAACACGTATCATACGGGGTTTTGGACCCCAAGAGCTGATGAGAACTCCAGTTAAATGATGTTCTTACCTGTTCTCCTTTTTGCCAGGGCTGGCGTCACCTGACCGGGGCTTCATTCCACTACTGGTCAATGCTGAGGGTATCTCCAGAATCCGCGATGGTGAATATACTGAGGCGAGAGAAGGACTCCCCACCACCCTGGGCCCTGAGCCCTGAGCCAGGTGGCCTTCAGCCAAGCAGCTGTCCTGGGAACCCCTTACTTCCTTCACAATGGCAGGCAGTATTTTAATTTCAGTGCCCCGGCAGGGCCACTGACCTCTCAGAGGAAGCAATGGAACATTGGTGGATCAATCACCTCTGGACTTGTGCCTGGTTATTAAAAAAAACTGGGTAAAATCAACCCTGTCCCCATGACTGTTGTAAACTCACTGGGAATTCATGGAGGAGCTGGAGTTGGCTCTACGTTTCCAAATAAAAGCATTGAAAGCCTCTTCAGATTGTTTCTGTCTCAGATGCCTCTCCTGGCTTCCAAGAGGCACCTGGCCACTGGCCACCATCACTCCTCTCTCTGTTCAGGTCCCTGTAGATGTCACCAGCCCAGAGAGAAACTTGCTGCATGCAAGTGATGAACGGAATTGAGGACGGCAGTCTGGCTTCTTTTTTCCCAGACACCCAAGGTCGGCAGGAGAGGGCATAGTGGTTGAAAGAAGCCATGGAGGGAGAGAAGACTTGTGGGAGTGCTTCAGAGATGGTGGCCCTGGGCTTGGGTGGGGTGGGTGCTATCTGGGCCTTATTTTCACCTGGAGAACAAAACAAAGCAAAATGCTTTTCCACAGTCTAGCTTCCAGAGTGATTTCATTGTGCTAAATGTTATTCCCTACTCTAACCCTGTGGGGAGGCCATTGCCATTTTGCTGCTATGTGCCGCATGTCCATACTCTCTCTCCCAATTTGTATCCACAACAAGCATCCCTAGCCAACCACTGAGCCTCTTAGCAGAGGGTTCTGCCCTTAAAATAAAACCTCCGTATGCCCGTTTTGATCTTTCTCCTTCACAGCCCCTGGTGCTGCAGAGTCCCCTCTCTGGAGTGTTCAGTGCAAGACCCCAACCCTCCAGGAGTGGCACATTCATGCATTTGTTCAGTCATCAAATGTTTGTTGAGCAGGTGCTGTCCTAGGTGTTGGGGACAGCCATGTGGGGGCTCCAGTGGCATTCCATTCTGGTGTATTCAAGAGGCTCTATTGACAGAGAGATGGGCCTGCCTGTCCTCCCCAGCATCCCTGGTCCTGGGCAGGTAATGAGGACACTGGTGAAGAGATGCTCCTGACATCTAATTCACCCCTGGTGGACCCGAAGTCCTGGCTGGCACATGTCCTAGAATGTGTTTCTTAAGTTTTCCTCAACTAGACCATTTCCTGGTGCTGGTTGTGGCGACCCTGTTGGTTTGGGTGTGATGCAGCATTCACAAGGCCAGTGGGTCTTCCACTGGATGCTCCTGAAAAGACTGAGAAACAGCAACCTCCCTCAGGTGTCCAAGCCTTTCCCAGTGTCTCTTGATCATCTTGGTGCCTCCTGATGAAAAGAGGAGGTAAGCAGAGAGATGCGTTGCTGAGCCAGTTTGCAGATGAAAAACTGAGGCTCTGACAACCTGAGCCCCTGCTGAGGACTCAGACTGCCAGTCCCATCGATAACCTTCCTGAGGCTACACACCCTGTTGTTCAGGCCAGAGAATATCACTAGCAGCCATGATGATGTCCATTTCATGGTATAAAAAAGAGAAAGTTGTTGGATATGCAAGTATGGTGTCTCAAACCGTCATTGAAGGCCTTCCATAAACCACATCAGAACTACCTTCTGAACTTGCTTCCCAGTGCTCTGCTCCGGGTTCCCTAGACTCCCAGCATTTCCCCCATCCCATCCAGTGCTAGGCACATAATGGGTGTTCAAATTTTTGTGGAAGGAATGACTGGGTGAGTCAATGACCTGCTAGGCCAGAGACTGTCTGCTCATAACCTCCGGGCTTCCTGCCTCTGTGCTTGTCTTTAACCTGGACACCTGTACCCCAGCATCTCCAGGAACAGGAGTGCACCCTGTTCTCCAACACCCAGCTCAGATGCTAAACCTAGGGCTTCCTGGTTCTCCCTCTCTCAATGTCCATGGCTCTTTCCCTCTCACAGCCCCCACGCACTGTGCCCCACCCTGTGCTCCCATCATGGTTGTGTGTCCTCTCTTCTTCATGGGTCTGTGCCCATCTTCAGAGCCAAGAGGAGGTCTTCCTGATCTCCAGATTCAGCCCGGCAGCAGTCATGGACAGTGTTTAGGAATAAAGAAAGCACAGATTTACAGACAAAAATGGAAGCATCACGATATTACCTGAGAATTGTTTGTAACACTGGAAATTTAGAAACTCTCTAAATGCCCATCTACAGACGACGTTGTTGCACAAACTGAGATGCAGTCATACTCTAGAATGGTATCTCACAGTCACTAAAAACGATGAGCTAGCCATTACATAGAGGATTGTCATGGAAATATCATGCCAGAGACATTAGAAGTGCAAAAACGAAGAATCAAATGTATGATGCTAGTTGTTTTCTTTTAAAAATAGACTTTTTCTGTTAAAAATACGTATGTTTTCTTCTTAAAATGCAATTATTATATCTGCATAATTATTTGGACATTGAAGCATCTGCAAGGCTATATACCAAACTTAATAGTGGCTATTTCTGGGATGTGGGGCTGGGGGAAGACTTTCCATTTCTACTTTGATGGTGGCGATTTCCTTGTGCACCACTATAGCATTTCAGTTTATGACAGCAAGCATATATTGCTTTTATAAATTTTCTTAAATAAAAACACAGCTTTTCACAGCATCAAGGTTCACTGCTGGGCACTTGCAGGTTGCCGGCTGGCTCTGCCTCTCTGCCCATCAATTTCAGCTCGGCTGTGAGTTACAGCCCTCGTCTGCCCGCCCTGCTCTGTCCACCCCACACTAGTTAGACCCCATCTTAGCACACTTTCAGCACCCCATCTCCCCACCAGAGCACTCGGCTTGGAAATGAGTGAAACTGAACTTTAACGAAGAAACTCGACTCCAACCCAGACAAATCTCACATGGCAGCTGGAACTGGGAGGGATCAACCGGCAACGCTCTTCTACTTCTTAGATTTTTCTGTAGAAGATAGTCTTGAGGAATACTTGGGGCCAACAACTTGAGGATTTTCTACAATCAGCACATCATGCTTTTTCTCTCAATCAATCAAAAAAAATTTGGTTGAGTCTGACTCTGTGCCTATGCTGTGCTAGGCACTGTTGTGACAATGGCAGGGACCCTGACCTGAGGAAGTTTAGTATCAGGCATTAATTTCTGTGTTGCCTTTGAGAAAGTCTTTAAACAAATGGAACTCCATTTTTATGAAAGGCAGAAAACAGAATTCCAAGCCAAGCACCGGTTTTGGTGTCTTTCCTGGAGTTGGAGAGTTTCAGACTTGCCTTCCTGAGGATGGCGATAAGAATAACAAAAACCACGACCTACAGCAGTCCCTTTTGTGTCTAAAAATTATTAAGGGCTCCAATTAAGTCAGGCTTATTCACCAGCATTCATCATAAATTAAAACTGAGAATTTAAAAAATACTTATTCATTTAAAATATAATAAAAAACCCATTACATCTTAACATAAATAAAATTCTTTAAATATAACTATTTTTCCACACAAACAATGAACAACAAGAATTGTCTCGCTTTCCACTTTTGCTTCTACAGAGGACTGCTATATTTCCTTGTTTGCTTCTGCTTTCGGTCTAGGGAGTATCATTTGACATGTAACCTTTGGAAAAGTTTATTGTACACGTGTGAGAAAATGAGAGTGGAAAGGACAAATAACATCTTAATGTTATATGAACATAGTTTAGACCTCTGAGCCCCTTAGAGAACCACGGCCCTACAAAAATATCCGTGACTCAAAGCCTGTGAGAAAGGATCCCTTGACTGATACATTGCAGAATCGCCACTTGAGGGCAGCAGAGGTCAGCTAAACTCTCCGTAGGTGCCTGTGTCGGGTTGTGCATGAACTTGGTCCCCTTTCTCAGACCACCTGGACCCGTTGATAGGTTTCTTCCTGTTTCCTGGTCCTCACCATCTCCCTTGGTGTAGCCCTCTGCCTTCTCTGTGGTGGAAAGAGGCTCATGTTAGGGAGACTTTCACCTTGGATTCTGGGCCCAGTTGGCCATCAGCTATCTGCGTGCTCTTGGCAAGCGTTTGTCCCCTCTGGGCCTGTTTCCTCGCCTGTAAAATGGCCACACTGGCCTCCCTTACCTATCTTCCATGGTTTCAGTAAGAAACAAGTACAACAGGGGTATTGTAAACTGTAAAGTGCAAAACATAGGGGTTGGAGGAAGACAGGGAGTGATGTGTAATTTCTTTGGTTTCTGTTCTCTGCCTGCCTTTTCCTCCTTGAAAAACTGCTGGACAGTTTGCTTTTTTCAGGAGGAGAACACAGGTGGCTGCAGGATGTTCCCTGCCCTTGTCTCTGCATGTGACACCCTGAGAGCTATAGATGTGCATTTGGACCTCCAAGTGGACATCCAATAAGCAAGTGTGAGGTGGGGTGGGGTGTATGCAGATGCCGACAGGGCCCTTCTGATGACCGGATGTGTCAAGTTTCATGGCTTCAGGCCCTCCTGGGTTCTGACGCCTCCTGCCCGCTTTGCCAGGCTGGCATCAAAGAGGTTGGCAGGAAACATTTGGTTCAGCAGAAAGTCCAGACCATAAGCACCAGAAGAAATCATCCAGAGAAATACTGCTTCCCTCCTCTGGTTGAGCATAGGGAAAGGGCAGCGTGCTCTGGGCTGTCACCCTAGACGGTCACAAGTACCTGCTGTGCCTCCTGTCTCTTTTCAGCACTAGCCAGGTCTCTGCCCTCCTGAGGACCCTGAGGACTGCAGAAGCATGTTGCCCTGCGCTGAGACCAGCACCTGGCCCTTGCTGCCTGCTTATTAGTGTTTACTGAGTGACTAAACCACGTCTTCCAGTGTACAGAAAATAAATGAAGTTTTCTTAATTTTTCACTAACTAAATTTAGTTTTTTTCAAGCCTCCATTCTACCTAATGGAGAAAAAATAATTTTGCTGTTTCAGGATAAAACAAAATCCAAGTTAAGCGCACAGTGCAAGATTTTCTCCTTCTCCTCCTTCCCCTGGTGATGACTTTAGGTTCTGGGGTCTTGGGGTATAGTAAGAGGCTTTTGGGTTTTGGACGTTGCCCTGTCCTACCCTGGTGTTCTTCCTGGCTAGTCCTGGGCATGGCTATCCCTCCAGGGCAGCTTCTGCAGAAGCATCTTTAGTTCCATTTGGCCCCTGACCACGTGATCCAGGCGGGCCATATCTCCCCATTCCCAGGCCTCTGGCCTTACCATCCTCCAAGACACATGATGCCCATCTCTGTCCTCTGGAAAACACTTTGGCTTCTCCATTGGAACTACTCAGGGAGCTGCAACAA